GAGTTGGCCGCCCTGCCCTGGGGTCGGGGCACTTCGGCCTCGCCCCTCTCCCCGCACAGTCTGAAGGGAGATGGGGAAGGCCCCAGCTGGTGCAGGCTTGGAACCCACAGGCCAAGCTCAGCCCAGCCCCTGGGAGAAGAATGAATATTAGGCTGGTGGCAGGAGAACCTCCCAAGCAGCAGGACCTCGCAGTGGGGGGCCCCCATAGCAGTGATGGGCCAATGCCCCACAAGCAGGCAGGCTGCGCTGAGGGGCTGGTGCTGAGAGCAGAGTCTGCTGCCTTCCCCTGCTTCCTTGGCTGAGAGCAGCCGGCCGGGGGCTTCAGGGGCAGCACGGGCCCAGCTGCGTGACAGGGAGTGAAATTCAGGCCCTGCTCTGCGAAAACCGAACAGCTGCTGCTGGTTCCGGTGGGCTCGAGCCCCAGCTGCCTGGGCGAGGGGGCAGGTGTTACCGCTGCTGCAGCCACCTGCTCACTTTCCCAGGAAAGCTGTGTCATGGGGCCGCTTGTGGGACCAGCCCACTCCTGCTGCCCTGCTCTAACCCTTAGGCCAGGCCCATTCCCTGGGGCTGGCGCTGCCCAGCAGTGATGCCACTCCGCAGTCACTGCCCAGGAGGCCTCGCCCTCCCCCTCCCCCCAAAGCCTGCTGGTACCCCTCAGCCTGCTTCCCAGGGAGCTCCCTGCTCTGGAGGACTTACTCCTGCCCAGCTCCCCGGGGCACTGCCCACTCCTAGCTGCAGCGCCCCAGTTCAGTGACATCTGCCCATCACCTTTTGCCTTCCACCCTTCACGTCTAGACAGCGGCGAACTCGGCCCGGCTCCCTCCCTTTTCCAGTCTTGGCAGATTATCAATGGTGTCCTGCCTCTGCCGGCCCCTGCTTCCCCAAGCCGGGCAGGCCTGGGCCCACTGAGCTTTTCAGAGGGGAAGGTTTATAATGGGGCAGGTTGAGCACCAAAGGGTCTGAAAACTCTGCCACCTCCATGCTTTGGGTCTAAAAGCAGTGGGGAAGGAGGGGGCTCCAGCAGAGAGGAGGGTCTGGGAGAGGCCCCTGGGGTCTCTCACACATGGAGGGAGCAGCTGCCCCCAGCCAGCCCCCCCAGCAGGCCACTGGGGTCTCTCCCAGCAGCCTGGGGAGAGCGGACACAGCTGAGTGTGGCCACTAATGCAGACCAAAGAAGCAGGAAAGCCGGTTTTATTGATGAAGAATCCTTTGTAAGGAGCCGTCCCGTTCCCCACCCCGGGAGTGGCAGGGCAGCCGCTTTCCCTTCACGTTTAACAGTGGAAGCTCAGAGTATCAAAATAAGAGGTGAGAAGCCTCAGCGAGTGCAGGGGGGGTGCAGGATCCCAGAGCGGAGGAGGGGTGGGGGATGTAGGGCTCCAAGGCCCAGGGCAGGAGATGCCGGGGAAGGGGGGTTAGTGGCTGGGGGAGCAGGCGAGTTCAATACTTCAGAAATTCAACACTACAAAAATACTGGAGCTCTTGGACGCACGACGCAGGCACTTGGGAACGAGGAGCAGCAGGGGGCGCTGGCTGGGGGCTGCTCCAGGGGCAGGCAGGTCCCTGCAGGTAGGAGGCACAATGGGGCAGGGGGGTAAACCTAGAGATTAACCCCTCGCACCCTGGAGCAGAGGCACTGGGCGACAGGGAAGGCGCAGCCAGCAATAAGGCATCAGAGGTGAGGGTGGGTTGGTGCAAGAGTCACCAGGGAAGCAGTTTCTGTCCCCCCCATTGCACGACTGGCCCCGGGGCGGAGCCGGGTGAGAACCCGCCTCCAAGCTCGACGCCCAGAGACGTGGAACCCACAAAGGCACAAAGGAAAACGCCTGAAAGGTGTGTGGGGGGAGGGGGAGCTTGGGGGGTGGGGCAGCCCCAGGTCCATGGGGCTCGAGGCAGCTGCATAGGTGAGCCCCAGCCCAGGCCTGCAGAGCTCCAGCCTCCTCGTACCCCGCGGAGCACCCGGCGCTGTGGCCGTGCCCAAGCAGAGTGGAGAAGCGTGTGCCCGTGGCGCGCTGGCTGCGCGGTGAAGCAGAGAGTTGCTGGTGCAGCACCCGCTGGGGGCAGCGGTGGGCAGTGTCAGGTTAGTCCCCAGTGCGCTGGGCAGCAGGCGAGTCTGGGTGATCCAGGCAATCCCTGCTCAGGGCAGGCCTGTCTTAAATAGGCGGCGGCGGCAGCAGTCTCTGTGGTGAGATGGGGGGGGGCAGGCTCAGCTCATGGCCACGCTCCCCTCAGTTCTGCCCCTCGTCCCGCAGCTCCGAGGGCAGGAACTTGTACTGCTGCTGCCGGATCATAGCCAGCTTCTTCCGGGCCTCCTCCAGCTCCCGCTCCTTCCGCAGCATCTCCTCCTGCGCTGCAATGATCTGCCAGGGAGAGAGACTGGTGAGAGCCCGCCCTGCCCATGGGTCCTGGGGCCCCGCGAGCGCCGGCTGCCGGGTCCTGGGGCCCCGCGAGCGCCGGCTGCCGGGTCCTGGGGCCCTGCGAGCGCCGGCTGCCGGGTCCTGGGGCCCTGCGAGCTCCGGCTGCCGGGTCCCGCCCACGGGCCCTGTGAGCGCCGGCTGCCGGGTCCCGTGGGGCCCTGTGAGCGCCGGCTGCCGGGTCCCGCCCACGGGCCCTGTGAGCGCTGGCTGGGGCCTGCCGTCCCCCAGGTTACGGACAGCTGGCGTCAGCCACCCTAGAGAGGTGGGAATGTTGGCAGCCGGCTGGATTCTTATTCCCTCATCCTGACCCTAGCATCAGATCCAGGGCTACGCAGTATTCCCAGGTTTACACTGAACCTCTGACTCCCCCACCTGTCCCCGTGCCCCATGGCCGGAGTCCCCCATGGGGACAAACATACACTCCATGTCTCGGGCATCCTGTAAGAGCTGAGAAGTGGGACTCTCCCCACAGAGCTGCCTTCAAGCCCGGAGTCTCTCCTCGCGGGCCCCGCAGAGCTGCCTCCCGGGCCCGGAGTCTCTCCTCGCGGGCCCCGCAGAGCCGCCTCCCGGGCCGGGGGTCTCTCCTCGCGGGCCCCGCAGAGCCGCCTCCCGGGCCGGGGGTCTCTCCTCGCGGGCCCCGCAGAGCCGCCTCCCAGGTCGGGGGTCTCTCCTCGCGGGCCCCGCAGAGCTGGGCCCTGTTATGTACCTACCACGACTATCCAGCTACAACAGTCACTGCTAACACTCTGGCAGGGATATTCAACCTCATGCTCAGGGCTGGAGCCAGACTAACGGTTAGAGCCCAACAGGAGGCCTGATGTGGGGCAGATTATCCTACTGCAGGCGTCTTGCACTCGCCTCTGAAGTGTCTGGTGCTGCTGTTCCAGGCATGACAGGACTCCGGGCCACACCCTGTCTGGCACTTGGCAATTCCTATCCTGACATCCAATGCCATGTCTCACCCCAGCCCCATTCTCAGCACCCCCCGGGGGCGCAGGCAGCGTCTAACCGCAGGGGGAAGGCAGAGGTTTGAGCAGCTCTTGGCCCTGAGGCTGCGAGGGAAGCACATTTTCTGGCTGTATCCACTTAACTAAGCAGCAGTGACACAGTTAAGGGATAAGGTAGAGTTGTCGTTAGGTTTCAGAGGCAACACGCCCTGGAAGGGGCATTTCCTCTGCTCAGGGCTGCTGTTTCAAGCTGCCTGCAGCCTCCAGGCATGACCCCCTGCTCCTCACCTGTGCGATTCCCCCGACCATTTTCTCCTTCACCACCACCGTCTCATTCTCCTGGTCCTGGAAGGCGGCTGCTTTCTGGGCTGCCTTCACCAGATGGTCGGATGCCCTCTTCACAGCGTTGCCAGCGGCCTGGGCAGAGAGAAAGGGAACGTGGCGCAGACTCAGCAAGGGGCACGGTTCTGTGACCTGCGAGTGGGCAGCCACTGCCCAGGATGGCAATAGCAGGGCTTACTGGGCTCCAGGGGGAAGGTTGGGGTAGGCTGGCAAGGGGCCACGACGGGGGCCAAGGGCTGGTGGGGGCTCCAGGCCCCAGTAAGGGGCAATAGGACCTGTGCTGGTGGCTGGGAGGATGGGGGCAGCTGGTGGGATGTAGTGACTGCAGGGGGTGGGGAGATGCGAGGCTGGGGACTCCCTGCAAGTGCAGGGTCAGGGCACAAGGCGGTGGCCTGGGCTGCAGCCGTGAAGGGGACTCTTCTCTTGTATCCGCACCCCCGAGCTGCGGGTCGTGCAGGTGTTGGGAGCTGCCGGGGATTCCGGTACATGACCAGCAGTGCAGAGGCAGCAGAAATGCTGCTCAGGGCCCAGGGAGGGACAGACCCAGAGCCCAAGCCAGGTAGAACTGGGCTCCCAGTGCAGGGCAGGGCAGGGCAAAGGCCTCTGTACCCTGGGAGCGGGCTGGGGTCACAGGGCTGCCAAGAAGGCCTCTGAGCTGGACGACAGGCACCCCGTGCCCCAGTGCTAGGGCCCCGCTGCTCCTTAACTCCTCGAGCGCCAGAGCCAGGAGCTGCCTTTGAGCAAGCACCAGAGTCAGGGGTCTCACTCGCCCTCCCCAGTGGGCGTGCCAGAGCCTCTGTCCCCCCCCTCACAGCTAACCTTTTCAGTGCCACAGCCTGAGGGTTTGCACCCTTCCCCTGAGTTAACCTCGCGCCCTGTGCTTGCTGGAGCAGAAGTGCTCCCAAGTCACCCAGTCGTCATTAACCCTTAGGGTTCTAGACAGTGTGGGGTAAAGCAGGCATCACCCCAGCACTGGTAACCCTGGAGTCCGTGCCGTGGAGCAGGTGATCCGGCGCAGCCCAGTGCAGCTGGGAAGGGAACTGTTCTCAGTTGCTGGCAGCAGCCTTGGGTTTGGTGCCCTGGGAATGTTAATTCCCCCAGGATGAATCGTGCTTTATAAATACACGGGCAAGCCGGGTACAGTGCAGCAGGGCTGATATTTCTCTCCTGGGGGGGGAGGCACAAGACCCTGACTGGGGGGGGGGGGGGTGGGTAGCTCCACTCACCCCACACTCTGCGGTGGGAAGGCCCCTGCCAGCACCAGAACGCCAGCCCGGCTTGGGATGCCCCATCCTGTGCTGCGCATGTGCCCCAGCTCCGGAGCGCACCCCCTGCTGTCCCTAGGGGAGCCAGCCCCACCCCCCAAACCCGACCCAGGGACTCACCTGCAGTCGCTTCATGGCCTCAGAGTCCTGGTCAGCCTTCACCTTACAGGCCACCAGGAGCTGCGCTGTGGAGGCGGCCACCTGCTTGGCGGAGGAGATGAGTTTCTCCTCGCTGGCGTGGCCCTGCACTGCTGCGTTCGCAGCCTCACACAGGTTGTTGGTGGCAGCAGCCACCATGCGGGCCTGGCAGGGAGAAGGAGATGGGGTGAGTGGGGAGGGGCCTGGAAGGGCGAGGTCCTAGGGGAGGGGGGAGAGCAAGGAAGGGGTGGGGCATGTGGAAGGGTGAGGTCCTGCGGGGG